CAAAAGCTACTTACAAATTCAAAGAAATCCCAGTCAAAACCCTCATCTCATTCTTCACAGAAATAGAAAAAACACTATTCTAAAATTCATATGGAACCACAAAAGACCCCAGAGAGTCAAAACAATCCTGAGCAAAAGGAGCCAGGCTAGAGGGATGACCGTTCCAGATCTTAAACATACTACAGAGTCATAGTGATTTAAAAAAAAAAAAAAAAAGTAAGCGCTGGCACAGAAACAGACACACAGACCAACAGAACAAACTCAAAGACCCAGACATGAGCATGCGTAACTTCAGCCACTTAATAATTGATAAAGGGGGCAAAAAAGTAAGCTGGAGAAAGGAAAGCACCTCCAACAAAAGGTGCTAGGAAAATGGGACATTCCCACACAGAGCAACAAAATCAGAGCTGTATTTACCACCTTGCATAAAAACTAACTCCACATGAATCAAAAATGTAAACATAAAATTTGAAACTGCTAGAAGAAAACAGATGTAGCATCATGCATGACACAGGTGTCAGAGAGGACTTCCTGGATAGGGTTCCTTTGGTCTAAAAGTTAAGGACAATAGTTGACAAAACCAACAAATACAGCTCCTGTGAGTTCACAGCTGTCATGGCCATGTCATGCATTTCAAATATGAGGGCAACCTTGTTGAGATGTCCTTCACCTCCCTGATGGCCAGGGCTGGTTAGATGGGTTTCTCCCCTCACCGCTCCGCATGCATCCTTCCCAAAGCTGCCCACCCAGCTGAAGAGGACAACCTTCCTCATAGACAGACTGGTCTTAAGTCAAGGATGTAAAAGTAGCCTCACTCCCCTGCTAGAGCCTCTAAACGGTCTCTCAAGAACATGACGCATGCCGGGCGGTGGTGGTGCACACCTTTAGTCCCAGCACTCAGGAGGCAGAGGTAGGTGGATCTCTGTGAGTTCGAGACCAGCCTGGTCTACAAGAGCTAGTTCCAGGACAGCCTCCAAAGCCACAGAGAAACCCTGTCTCAAAAAGCAAAAAAAAAAAAAAAACATGACGCGTGCCAGTCATGCACCAGTCCTGCTCTTACTCTGTTCTTGCCCCCTAGCCACGATATTTCCTGGGCCCTAAGTTAGGACTGTAAACGTCTTCTTTGGGGGTGAGTGCTCAACTCTCATTGATTTTCAGCATCTTTGTAGCCATCAGAGTCTTCATTCACATCTGTCCACTGAAAGAGAGGCTTCTCTGGTTAAAGCTGGCAGCGGCCTTTCTCTTCGGGTATAAACATGGATACTAAGAAGGCAGCTTGATGATGTGACAATCTATGTAAGCAGCAGTGAAAGGTCCTCCCCCCATAGTGCCCAAGGTCTCCTGGGTTATGGTTTGCTGCTGTTGTTGTTGTATGCTTGTTTGTTTGTGTTTTTTAAGTGAGATGAGAGTACTAGGTATGCATATTTGTTTTTTTGACTCAGAGTCTTTCATTGGCTTGGACCACACCCCTGGGATCCACCATCTCTGGGCGCTAGGATTAAAACTGAGCCACTGCACTTGGCTTTTTTTTTTTTCCAAATGCATTTATTTTTGTGTATAAGTGTGAGTGTGTCTTTCTGTGAAAGTATGTGGATACCACGGCATGAACAAGTAAGAGAGACTTGTGGGGTCAGTGGGTTCCAGGGATCAAACTCAGGTCCTCAGACTTGCCAGCAAGTGTTTCCGCCAACTGAGCTATCCACCAGTCTCCATCTTCCTCCCTCATTCCCCTTTCTCTTTCCCATACCTCGTAATGTTTCATATCTGTCTTTCTTTTGTTTATGTCCACTTGTTGATAAAGTGTCTCGCTGTGTGTAGTTTCGACTGTCCTAGAAATCCACAATGTGGGCCAGGCTGGCCTTGAACCCTTGGCACAGTCCCTCGACACTGGGATTCCAGAAGTTCCTCACTACTCCCGGCTTTGAGGTTTCTTGTTTGTTTTTGATTTTAGGTTTCCATTGCACAGATAACGTGTTTCATGAGCACATTTTCGTGCAGGTACAAACTGTGCACTGAACAGATCTCTTTGCCTTCCCAATCCTCACAGCTCCTCCTCCTCTTCGTCCCTTCCTTTCCCCAGGCGGTTTCACTTCTACTTTCTTGTCATGTATACATTCGTGATTTTTATGTAACTATATATAATCTAGGAACCACAAAAAAAAGAAAGAACATCAACATTTGTCTTCCTAAAACCGACTTAATTCGTTTAGTATGATTGTCTCTGGTTACATTTTCTGCAAACAACATAAATGTATCCTTTATGACTTTATTCAACCACGTTGTCTCCATCTAGTCCTCATCGCTGGACACCAAATTTGGTTTTACAACTTAGCAATTGTGGCAAATGTTTTTCTTTTAACTTGCTTTTAATTTTTTCCTGCTTGTTTTGATTTTTAATTATGGGTATGGGGGGAGGGTGTGTGCAGTTAACTGCAGGTGCCAAAGAGAATAGAAGCATCGGATCCCTGGAGCTGTGAGCCACCTGACTTTGATGCTGGGACTGAACTGGAGTCCTCCGCAAGAAGAGGCCCCCTTAACCACTAAGCCACCTCTTCAGTCTCCCAACATGTTTTTTAAAATTGCTTTTGTTGTTTGAAAGTCTGGTATATTTACATAATGTATTTTAGTTATCTCTATCTCCATCAGTTGGAAGCCTTCTCCTCAGCCAGCCCCCCTCCTGGAGTCATGTTTTCTTTTTGAGTGTGGCCCACCGAGTCTAACTACGGTTGCTTCCCTGAGTGCAGGTGGAAGGTTGTTTACTTATAGGAGCAGGGAAAGTAACCAGTGGCCACAGCACTGATGAAAATGACACTCCCTCTCCCAGCAATTGTTCCTGGTGGAAGCATGTGACCCTATTGGCCCCTTTCCCATCCATGTTGGATTTAATGTAGTGTCTGTTTCTCTGCCCATCCCCAAGAAATACGAACACCCAGGGGGGAAGAATTTGTTCACTGATTTAGCCCAATTCTCAGAGAAATTTCTGTCAAACATCAGATACCCAATATATGTTTAAAGAATACATTACTTTAGAGGCTGGGGAGAGGCTTAGTGTTGATTTGGGCTTGGGTGTGAGTTTGTTGTTTCTTTGTGACAGGGTCTCGGGTAGCCCAGGCTGGCCTCAGACTCATCTCGGTAGCCAGATCTTTTTGACTGACCCTCCCAAAGGCTGGATTACAGGTGCACCATGCATCCAGTGCAATCCCGATAGGGATCCTTTCCAGGGTTTTGTGCATGACAGGCAAGCATCCTAAGGACTTTGCTACAGCCCCAGGTTCATCAGTTTCTGTTTGGGTTTTGTGGGGGGAGGTTTCACTGGGTTTTGGTTTCATTTTGAGACTCGGGCTCATTATATTATAATCCACATTGACCCTTAATCTCTGAACTCCTGATCTTTCTGCCTCAGCACATATATGTGGCAGCCAGAAGTCAGCCTAGGGTATTCTTCCCCAGAAGCTCTCTCTCTCTCTCTCTCTCTCTCTCTCTCTCTCTCTCTCCACCCCCTGTCTCTCCCAGAGAGAAGGGGCAAGGGAGGGAGAGGGAGAGAATTTTCAATTACATTTATTTATTTATTTACTTTGTGTAGCGATTCCTACATGCATGTGTGCCCACACAAGTCATGGCACATGTGTGGAGGTCAGAGGACAACTTTCAGGAGTTGGCTGTCCTTCCATGTAGGTCCTAGAATCAAGCACACACCATGAAGCACTGTGGCAAGTACCTTTGCCAGGTAGCCATCTCATGGCCCCACCTTGTTCTGAGACACAGTCTCTCACAGGACATGGACCTTTAAGATGCCCCGGGAACTTGGCTGTGTCCACGTCCCCGGAGCTGGGATTACAGGCACATTCCACCTCCCTCGAGCTGTCTTTGAGTACTAAAAATCATATTCACGCCCTCATGTTTCAACAGCAGCACTTTGCAGACTGAACCCTGACACTGTTCCCCCTTTTCACAAAGGAGAAAACTTCTCAGCCGCAAACTATCTCTGGTCCTACCTGCTTTCCCACAAGAAGCACTGCAAGCTTAGTTAACAGTTCCTATGGTTATCCACTCCCTGCTGACCAATGTCAGCTGAATTCACATCAAGGTCAAGTAATGTCTGACCAAGACCTTCAGGTCAAACAGAAAGAGTTTCTGCAGGATCCAGCAGGGCCCTGAGACACTTGGTTAGGTTCAGTGTTTTCCCCCTCAGGAGAAATCTCAGCCCTGAGCCCATTAGAGACAGAGACCAGAGCTGGGGGGTGGGGGGGGCAGTTCAGTCAGGAAACTGTCTGCCTTGCAAGCATGGGGCCCTAAATTTGATCCCCGGTAGCTACACTGTCAGAGACAATTGGTGTGGTACAACCCTAAGGCTGAGGTAATAGACACAGGTGGGTCTTCGGGGCTGTGTAAGCCAATAGTACTTAACAAGTTCCTGGCCATTGAGAGACCCTATTAAGAAAAAAAAAAGATGGGGGGGGAGCAAGACAGCTCAGTAGATAAAGGAGCTTGCTGCCAAGCTTTGGTCCCAGAAACCATATGGTAGAGAGAGAGAACCAACTCTCACAGGTTGTCCTGTGAGTGGGCTCAGGGGAATTTCTACTCCTGTGCAAGCACCCCAAACTCACAAACTAAATAAAATGCAATATGCTTTTTTAAAAGATAGATGGTGACGAGGTAACAACACCCTAAGCTGTCCTCTGGCTTCTGCAGGCACACACACAGAGAAAGTGGAAGAGACAGAGATAGAGAGGTAGGGGAAGAGAGAGGAGGACATAAGGGGGAGCACAAGTCCTAAAGAGAAGTTCCCAGCACCTAGGAAACACAGCCACAGAAGTTGGAGCTGCCCCTCCCGGCCCCAGCCTTGCCCAGCACTGTGACTGGCCATTGGCTAGGTTCCTCCACACAGGAATTGAAACCACTGAAATGGAAAGGAAGGAAGGAAAGGAGATAGGATGGGGATAGGGTGGGGACTTAAATTTATATCTCTGTCCAGGGCTGGATGGATGCCCCTCACCAACATGGACACTGGTGGATACAGCAAGCTGGGTAGCGCCATCGAGGAGGTTCCCCAAGGTATCATCCTCCATGAGTCCCTCTATTCTAATGTCTGGGGTTTTGTGGGTTTGGGGAGGAGCAGAGACAAGACCATGCAGGACACACCAGTGCATGGACGGGACTGCAGAATGGTAGGCCTGGGAGTGGGGAGGAGTGGATCCTGAGTGAGCACTCCCCAGGATCCAAAGGGCTGGGTCCTGGGTTGGGGAAAGGCATCCCTTGAGTCTCCCCCAGGAAACCTGGGGGGAGGGGCAGGTGTCATTCCAGTCATAGACCCAGTTATATTGGCATCAGAACTAACTCTGTCACTTAGGAGCCATGTGGTGGAGGGAGGGTACTTAAGCTGTCTGTACGTCCATCCTGGAGGAATCAAGAAGCCATCGGTGTTCTACTAGGGCAGTTGGGACGCTGGGAGTACTACAAACAAAGGCTTTTCTTCCTGGTCTTGGCTTTCCTGGTGGCCACAGTGCTATGGGTTCTCATTTTGAGCACCCTACTGTCCAAGGGTGAGTGATTCTTTTTATGTGTATGTATGTGTTTTGTGTGTGTGTGTGTGTGTGTGTGTGTGTGTGTGACACACACACACACAGAGAGAGAGAGAGAGAGAGAGAGAGAGAGAGAGAGAGAGAGAGAGAGAGAGAGAGAGAGAGAGAGAGAGAGAGAGAGGTACAAGTGCCCACAGAGGCCAGACAGCATCAGCTCCCCTAGAGCTGGAGTTACAGGCAGTTGTGAGCCATCTCATGTGGGTGCTGAGACCGAACTCAGGTTCTCTGGAAGAGCAGAAGAGCGGCTTGCTCTAATCCTCTGAACCAAGTCTCCAGCCCATGGGAATGATCCTTTACCCAGGACAAGTTGTACGCCACCTGGCGGGGAAGGCACAAGCCTGTTTCCTCTGTGATGCACAGATGGGATCCTGGATGTCCGTCAAAAAAACATACTTACATTATGGCTCATAACAGTAACAAAATTACAGTGATGAAGTAGCAAAGGAAATAATTTTATGGTTGGATGACCACAACATGAGAAACTGTATTTATTAAAGGGTTGCAGCATTAGGAAGGTTGAGAAGCACTGGTGTAAACCAAACATCTGTTTGGCGCTGTGTGTATGCATTACGTATGTTTCCTATCCGTGCCCGGGTGCTGTATTCCTGGCCTGTGCTTCTGTGGATACCAAAACACGGGTCCTCACACCCTCTGGGAAGGCGCGGGGGTTCCCAATTCCTGCTTACTTCTCTCTGCAGCCTCCAACGAGCGCAGGGCACTGCTCAGCCACCAGGACCTGCTGAAGACAAACGGTGGGTAACGAGCTGGAGAGCAGGGCATTTGCGCCCCCTGGCGGTCAGATGTGGCACTGCCAGGGATTCAGAGACTGGGTAGTGAATAGCTGAGGCCCCTGGAGATGGGTTGAGCCTGGATAGGAGAGGGCTGTCCCCCTGACCTAATGGGGGGCATGTCATTTCAGCCTCAGAGCAAAATATGATGTTGAGTGCCTTGAAAGAGGATGTCAGAGGCTGCAGGAACTGCTGTAAGAAACCGGCTTGAGAGCTGTGGGGCTGGGAATTGGGACTGGTGGGATGGGAGAGGCTATGGGGAGGAACTGGCTGGCCTCCAAAGATCTCCCTATCCCCAAATAGGCTCAGGGATAAAAGCGCAGTTGCAAACCACACTCGCTGAGTTTAAGGACACAAGGGCAAAGCTGATGGAGCAGGAGAGCGCCCTTAAAGAACTGCAAGACCGTGGTGAGAGCTAAAGCCCTGACCTTCTCCTTAACCACAGCCACACCACTTCTTGGTAGTTTAGTCCTGGACCCTCAGGTTCCCGGTAACTGAACCTAGGGATTCACATGCTAGGCAGGCTTTCCACCGCTGAGCCATGCCCTGGGCCCTCACTGCGGAATCCTAAGCAAGACTTCTTTGAACCACACGCCCAACCCCTTGCTGAAGGATTCTAGGCAGGTGTCCTAATACCAAGCTTATCATCACCAGCACTCATTTTACGTTTGGTTTGTTTGTTTTTGTTTTTTGAGACAGGGTCTCACTTAGTTGCCTAGGATGAACTTAAACTCTTAGCCCAATTTAGCCTTGAATTTACCATCCTCCACTCCTCAGCTTTCTGAAGTAACTGAAACCACCACACCCAGACTGAAGTTATTCTTGACCCTGATACCAACCATGAACAATGGACATAGATCTCGACCTATGCGTAACTCCCAATCTTCACCCCAGCTCTAAATGTGCACCGTTCCAACCCCGTAGTGACCCAGGGCCTGGCTAAAGCAGGCAGAGATCGTGAGGACATCCGAAATGAGCTGCTCCGGGCACTGGAAGCTGTCAAGCAACAGAACAGTGAGCCAGAGAGGACACTGAGGAAGGGGGAGGAGAGGACCCTGCCTGAGGCTTTCAAGGCTTTGCCTTCCACCAGACATACCCTTTGATCTGAGCCTTGTTTCTTGGTATGCCACGCCCTCCATGGTGTTCCAATGGCCCGGTTCCATAACAAGCCATCTCCCTACCCTCACCTCCTAACAGGATCCTGCGAGCAGTGCCCCACATCATGGCTGTTCTTCCAAGGCTCCTGCTACTATTTCTCTGAGACTCAGGCCGTATGGGACACAGCGCAGAGCTACTGCTCAGCCCACGGTGCCTACTTGGTGATTGTCAAAGGCCCAGAGGAGCAGGTATGCAGCCGGGACTTGGCAAAGCAGAATCAGAGTCCACCTGAGTTGGCGTGTCTCAGGATGTCTCCACTCCCTTCCAGGGTTTCCTGAGTCAGCATACACGTGGCCGAGGCTACTGGTTGGGTCTGAAGGCAGTTCGCCGTCTCGGCAAGATTCAAGGCTACCAGTGGGTAGATGGAGTGTCACTCACCTTCAGGTAAGGAGAAGGCTCCAAGAAAGTTTTGAAAGGGGGGATTCCCTAGGGGGGGAAGCTTTTGGATATGTCTGAAAACTAGATTCCTGAGCGGAGATTGTTTGCTGATGCTTTGGGGCGGTGTACATGGTGCATGTGTAGCCGTGCACACCCATGCATGCTTATGCAAAGGCTAGGGGATAACTCTGGATATTCTGTTCTACCATCCCTTGCTTTATTCCATTAAGACAGGGTCTCTCACTGAACCTGGATCTAGTTTGACTAACAGCCAGAAAACCCCAGAGACCCTCCCATCTCCAAACCCCACCCTATTGGGTCACAAACACATACACAGCCACAGACGGATAATTTTTTTATGTAACTACTTGGGATTTGAGCTCAAGTCCTTATGTTTGTACAAGTATTCTTATCTACTGAGCAATCTCCACAGTCCCTGAACTAACCTTGTAAGAATGGAAAAGCTAGACCCTGGGAATTTGCTAAGAGTCCAATTCTGAGCCCTTACAAATGTACACTGCAGATATAAACTCAAATTAGGCATTCAGGGTATCTATGCCAGAGTCAAGCAACAAAGGAAGGGAGGCTGGACCCTATTGTAAGCCCAGACTCCCAGTAACACCCTCCACTGGACCACCACAGCAACTGGAACTCTGGAGAGCCCAATGATTCCAGAGGACAGGAGGACTGTGTCATGATGCTACACTCGGGGCTGTGGAATGATGCACCGTGTACCAATGAGAGGGATGGCTGGATCTGTGAGAAGAGGAGCATCTGCTGATCCTGCCCAGTGTCCCATTGCCTCAGAAGTCTGGCCCACTATCCAGGATTTTTCTTCTAATGCACCATTACTAAGAGCCACTCAGCCTGACCTTTGGAGACCCCAGCTCCAACCCACAAAATACCCTAAATCTCCCAGCTAACCTGACTTTTGTCAGTTTCAAAATCACTGCTCTAAAGCCCTGGTCATCTGATGCCCCACCTGCCCTCCTAGACACAGTATTAGAGCTGTTGTATCTCCCTGCATCCCCCATCCCATCCCTCTGAATTGAAGCTATCGCCACAGAGAGAAGAGGCATCAATAAATGTTTAACAGGTGAACCTAGGCTCTGGGTCTGTGTTGCAAAAGAGTGACCTTGAATCCCACAAGAAACATAAGAAGTAAAACTAATTTGTTTTCCTAGGAAAGGTGTGCCAGAACCGAAACTTGGCTAGCAAGCAGCACACTTGGCCAAAGTGGTCTATGTCTTTCATCACTGATGTAATTGTATAATGGCTGGGCAGTTATGGTGCACGCCTTTAATCCCAGCACTCAGGGAACAGAGGCAGGCAACTCTGAGATACCATCTTACACCTGTCAGAATGGCCAAGATCAAAACACCAATGACAGCTTATGTGGGAAAGGATGTAGAGTAAGGGGAAACACTCTTCCATTGCTGGTGGGAGTGCAGACTTGTACAGCCATTTTGGAAATCAGTATGGTGGTTTTTAAGAAATTTGGGAATCAATCTACCTCAAGGCCCAGCAATACCACTCTTGGGCATACACCCAAAGGATGCATACTCACACCACAAATACATTTGCTCAACCATTTTTACAGCAGCATTATTCATAATAGCCAGAACCCAAAAACAACCTAGATGCCCCTTAACCAAAGACTAGGTAAAGAAAATGTGGTACATTTACACAATGGAGTACTACTTAGTGATTAAAAAAAAAAAAACAATGATGTCTTGAAATTTGCACAAAAATGGACAGACCTAGAAAAAAACCATCCTGAGTAAGGAACCCCAGACCCAGGAAGACAAATATAATATGTACTCATTCATAAGTGGATATTAGACATAAAGCAAAGGATAACCAACATACAATTCACAACCCAGAGAACCTAGGTAACAAAGAGGTCCCTAAGAGAGATGCACACACCTAAGAAGGGGGAAAAGACAAGACCTCCCAAGTAAATTGGGAGGGTAGGGGGAGGTAAAAGGGAGGGTGGAAGTGGAGAGGGGAGGAGGGAAGGGGAGTGGGGGAAAGATATATAGCTCAAATTTTTAAAAAAGACCCCAAGTGTATTGGTTGTAACAGTAAGTCTTTCCTCCAAAGCCACCAGAGCCCTGCCGCCATGTGGGCACTTTCTGCCAGGCAGCCCGACTTCTGCCCGCGACCACGTTAAGGTCCCAAGTAACACACAGAGACTTATATTAGATATAAATGTTGCTTGGCCAATCGACTAGGATTTCTCATCTTTTAACTCAGTCTTAATTATCATAAATCTATATATTTTGTAAGACTTATCTAGGATGCCTTCCGCTGGTGCCCTCTCTTGCCAGGGGATCACATGGCGACTCCAGAGCAGAGACCAGGAGGAAGAGAGAAGGGAACAACTTCCTTCTTGCCCTTGCTTATATATGAGTCTCCCTGCTATGTCATTTTCTGCCTGGTTCTCCACTTCTCTACTACATTTCTCAGAATCCTCCTGCCTAACTTGCTGCCTCATTAGCCAAACAGTACTTTATTTATCATCCAATAAGACAAACATATACACAGAAGAACTTCCCCCATCAATTGGTGGTTTCATTTGTATAACACTCAGGGGTAGGGAGGAAAGGAGATTCTCATCTGGTGCCTGGACAGAGATGTGAAGACACAAATTTCTCAGCATTAAAAGTTTGAGGCAAGCCGGGCATTGGTGGCTCAAGCTTTTAATCCCAGAACTCAGGAGGCATAGGCAGGCAGATCTCTGAGTTCCAGGCCATCCAGGGCTACACAGAGAAAGCCTGTAAATAAATAAATAAATAAATAAATAAATAAATAAATAAATAAAGTCTGAGTCAGGGAACCAGGAGGAACCAGAAGAGAGATATTTTCAAATGTCCAAGTCATAGTCCTTTAAAATAGTTTAATGGGCTCACAAGTGCCTTCATCTATTGGGCCCAATATTGTGTTTCTTTGGTCTCTAAGGCTGGACTCCAGAGTGCTGCTTTCAGACACTGTGATAGCTGTTGGAGTAACCAGAGTCACAGTTGAGCTCCCTCTCAGATGGCTTCTAGAAAGGGAGAGAGGAGACTTCTAAGCATCATTTAGTTTTTAGGTTAAAAACTTGCACAAAACTTAAGTCAAAATTGATCAAAGATCTCAACATAAGTCCAGCTACACTGAACCTATTAGAAGACAAAATGGGAAATACCCTTGAATTAATCCGTACAGGAGACCGCTTCCTGAACATTACACCAGTAGCACAGACACTGAGGTCAACAATTGATAAATGGGACCTCCTGAAACTGAGAAGTTTCTGTAAGGCAAAGGAGACAGTCAATAAGACAAAACGGCAGCCCACAGACTAGGAAAAGATATTCACCAACCCCACATCTGACAGAGGGCTGATCTCCAAAATATACAAAGAACTCAAGAAACTAATCCCCCAAACACCAAACAACCCAATTAAAAAGTGGGGTACAGAACTAAATAGACAATTCTCAATAGAAGAATCTAAAATGGCTGAAAGACACATGAGAAAGTGTTCAACATCCTTAGTCATCAGGGAAATGCAAATCAAAACAACTTTGAGATACTATCTTACTCCTGTCAGAATGGCTAAAATCAAAAATACCAATGGCAGTTTATGCTGGGGAGAATGCAGAGAAAGAGAAATACTCCTCCACTGCTGGTGGGAGTGCCAACTTGTACAGCCACTGTGGAAATCAGTATGGCGACTCCTCAAGAAAATGGGAATGAGTCTACCACAATATCCAGCAATT